GAAATAATTAGATTCAGAACGATTAAATTAAGCACTGTTATTTAACCTTAATCAATTTGATTAAGAGAGACTATAAAAGGGCCAATATACACTCAAATTCATCTTCCTTAGAGCTCAAAATCTGAAACAAACACTCTAGAGAGAGAGTGAACCGAATGTAGAGGGAAAGGGAGCACAAAATTGGAGATTTGAGTTGAGAACTTGGGAATTTGGAAGCTAGGCTCAAGAGCTAGCTAGATTTTGGGAGATTAGAGCTCCTAGGTAAGCATTTGAGCATAAATCCATGAGTATAAGTTTGTAATTTTGTGTATTCAAGTTGGTTAGGTAATCAAGAACATAAATTAAGATGTATTTGATGAATTTGGAGTCTATATGCATGTGCATGTAAAGAATTGCCATGATCTTACATACTCAAGCATGAAGCATGTTGAATATGAAGAATTGAGCACCAAACTTTGCATGCATGAGCAATTTTGTATAGCTTCAAGATTTTAATCACCACTTGTACCCTTTGAGATGGAATTAAGTTAACATTTTGCATGCATGCAAGATCCATGTAAGTAAGGAGCTTGATTATTTGAGTTTTGAAACCAACAAGAAGAATTTGAAATGATTTGGGAAATGAACCATGATTTTAGTCAATTGATTCTAAATTAATTATGACCTTGTGTTATATGATGTCCTTTCATGCTTTTGCATCAAAAATATGAGTTTTGGAGCCTTTGGGGTTGAGTTTGAAGTTCAAACGGAGTTTTGGAAAACCCAGAATTCAACCTGTCCACTCGAGCGGGGAAAGCGCCGCTCGAGCGTGAAATGTTACTTCCTAGAACTTTTGCAGACATTGATGTCCGCTCGAGCGGGCAGAGTCACGCTCGAGCGCCAGTCACGTAGTTTGAATTCCAACTCAAGCGTCCAAAGTCACGCTCGAGCGTAAATATGATGCAACCAGTACTTTTCCAAACTAAAGGGGTCCGCTCGAGCGGCATAAACTGTGCTCGAGCAGGGAGCCCTGTTTTAGAAATTTTGTAAAGTTGATTTATGTTTTGTTTTCCGTTCTCTTTCATTTCTAAGCACTCTTAGGCATGCATTGAACTTTATAAATGAGTTAAAAAGGATAAGAAAGAAGCCTAAGAGGGATGTATGAATTAAGAACGGATTGAATCATTTGTGACCCATATATGTGTTATGATTTATGTAGGGTCGAGCACAAGAACGAATCCACCGGCAGAACACTGTGAATAATATCTTAATAAAGATATTTTGAAGTATGCTATTTGTCCAATTATTTACTCCTATTTAAGTTTCATAAGCTTGTTAATCTGAAAGGTGGACAATATTTGTTATGCCATACGATTGGGCCAAAGGCCGTTGGATGTGAATGATTGGGCCAAAGGCCGTTTGACACGAACAATTGGGCCAAAGGCCGTTGGATATGATCGATAAGGCCGTCGGATATGAATGATTGGGCCAAAGGCTGTCGAACATAAATCATTGGGCCAAAGGCCGTCGAACATAAATCATTGGACCGAAGGCCGTTTGGTATGAATGAATGGGCCAAAGGCCGTTTGATACAAATGAATTGGGCCCGAGGCCATTTGACACGTCTGGATTTGTAGTCGTTTGGTACACTAGATAGAAACATGAATTGGGCCTAAGGCCGTCTAATGCATCTATTTCAAATTTTGTTCATGTATCTTCTTTATTTGATATTATTCACTAGGCTTTCACTCACTCTCATTCATGTGTCTGTAGGTGAGCCAAGAGATGTCCAAACCTAGCCCCAGTGAAGTATGTGAGAAACAGTCAAGGTTTTGAGGAGTCAGCCCATACGTCTCATGCATAAGACTTGTTTTCGCCCTTTTGTTCTTTTGATATATTTTTGCTATGTTGGCGAAAACTTTGGATCACCTTTGTATATAAGCTTTTGGTTTGGCTGATTATGACTTGAATGATCCTGTTGTGTAAAGCTTATATGTTAACTTCCTTTGATATGAGTTATTAATGAATATATGTGAAATGTTATGATATGCCATGTAAGCACAACTCTATGGACAAAAGTTTTAAATTTGCTTCTGTTTTGGCCCCTTAACTCTGTTGAAATATATCCAACCTGATTTGAGGCCGTAGGTGATCTCTTGATTACTAGTCGGTTATGACCCTACACCATGGAGGCGGGTTCGGATCATGACACCTTTGGTTCTTTTCCTCCAATTCCTTAGATAACGCTTTTCAAACATATCTCCCATTACCCACTTGTGACCTATTTAAAGAAAAAGAAAGGATGCCTTCTGATTTGGTTCCCAACCTAGTCTTCTTGGTAATGGCTTCAATACTTGCTTCTTGAAGTTTTGCCAACCCTATAGCCTGAGTGATAGAGGTTGGTTTAAACATTAACACCCCTAATTGAATTTCATCCTTAAGACCACTTATGAAACAACTAACAAAGAAGCTTCAGGGAGGTTTTGAGTTTTATTCGCCAAAATCTCAAACTGTTGTTGGTAAGCTCTCACAGTAGTGGTCTGCTTCAATTTGGTGAGGTTACCCATTGCATCTTCATATGAATTTGAGCCAAATCTTGATAGAAGTCCTTGTGTAAACAAATCCCAAGTAATATGATGATCGCATCTTTCAAACCATTGAAACCACTGTAGGGACGAGTCCTCCAAATGAAGAGACGCCAATTTCACTTTATCAAGATTGTCAACAGCATTATGCTCAAAAAAGCTTTCACATTTATAAAGCCAACCATTTGGATTATCACCATAGAAGCGAGGAAATTCAATCTTCACAAATCGTTGATAAGATTGGTGATCTGACCTTAATGGAAAATCCCCTCGAGCTTGAAAATCCCCACGAGCTTGAACCCCTACTGGAGACACCCCTGATTGTCCTTGGCGAAGCATTCTAGAATTGTCACTCCGATCTACATGTTGTTTCCCATAGATGTGCCCTACCATTTGATCATACTTCATACTCATGGCAGCAACCAATTCCTTGATATCTCCCAAATCTTTGAGAGAACTCCTGATTTCCCCGATTTCCTTCGCATTTCTCTCATTACCCTCCTTTAATGTTCACAGTGTCTCCTCAATTTTTTTAGCTTCCTGGGCTACTCTAGTTCCGTTAACCATGTTGGTTACAGAGAATGAATAGGCCAAGAACTTGGGTGCTCTGACACCAATGTAATAGCTAGGGAAGAAGAAACAGAAATATAGAGAAAAAAGTAGCAAATCTTTATATTATTCTCAGAAAATTACATACCCTCCATATGGGAGTTCCGCAATTATTTACAACTACTTCCTTGCATACCTCACACCTCTAACTAACTAACTAACTAACTTCTTCTCAACTGCCTTCCTCTAACTAACTAACTACTTCTCAACTGACTCACAATTCTTGATATAACATTTTGAATTGAAAGAACATCTTTGATGACTTTATTTTGTCGTTGAGCAGGTATTCCAACCATGGTTATTGATTCAAAAATTGTTGGTGATGTGAAGGACCCGCGTGGTAGTGCACATGATATCTCCAAATCAGAAGGGACTTTGTTATCCAAATTAATGTCAGGTCTTATTTTATTTTTTTGCAGTAAATTTTAGAGAGAAAAAAAATAATGCAGATGTAATTTTTGTCTGCATATAATTCCCCTCACCCCAAAAAGAAAAATGAAAAAAACTAGTTCTTTTGAGTGTATGTATGGTGGATTTGACCCGTGCAAGTATTCAGTAATTGTATTGAATACAAATATCTTTACTTTAAAAAAAATAAAAAGTCAACTTTCCCTTTCATCTGATTGATTATTCTACACTGGTATTTTGTTACAAGGTACAGAAGGATCATCAGAGGTTTGTTGCTCTTACTCTTCAACTATGAGTTGTTCGCAGTTTTTGGAATACAGTTAAATCAGAAATTTTTGGGTGCTTCATAAGTCACTTGTACACACAAGAATTCAAGATTCATGTGATTCTCTTTAAATTTAAGGCTGTGGTTCTATTATTACAGGAAAGAGTTACAAACAAAATACAAAGATTTACAGCCACAAGTGCAAAAATATCAAAATATCTTTACTCCAAAATTCAGATAGTTAGTCTTCAGTACTCAAGATTTACGCTACACAACAAAATGAACCATTGCCAGCTTTGCTTTCTGTTATTTCTTCTTTGTCATCAGTCCCAACTGGAAATTGAAGAAAATTCACGAGAAATTGTTAGTATGCCTAGCTTATCACTATACTAAATATGAAGTAATTAATTTTTTTTAATGCTTCTGACTCTTGTTTGTTGTCTTCTTTCTTTTCATGAAGTTTGTCCTTGGATAAAACGAATTGATGATGCAAAGCAAAAGCATGTGTTCGCAAGAGAGCTGGCAAAAAGACTGATCGAAAAAGAAAATGGTTGGAGTGATTACCTATATTGCGAAAATTTTCATGTTTCTGGATTGGGCTGCGTTGGAGAAACTTCGTCACAGAATAAGAAGAATAGAGTGGTAGACCCACTTATCCTAGCAACAAAGCACGGCATCCATGAGATGGTAGAGGAAATCCTTGAAAAATTCCCTAATGTTGCAACTACATTTGATGAGAATGGAAGAAATATACTGCACATGGCAGCACAGTTGAAAGATAGAATTCTCTATGACTACTTGAAGAAGACTGTTAATCACGCAGATAGGATGATGGCCAATGTTGATAAACATGGAAACACCATCTTGCATCTTACAGCCTATGAGTGCAAGCAGGGTCATTTTCTCGCAACTCATTTTGGACCTATAAACCGAATGTCATGGAATGTATTTTGGTTCAAGGTACGTATCAAATCACATGTGTACATGGGAGTAGTTGGTAAAAAATTTGGTAAATCAATTCCCTTATAATATTGTCTTCTCACTCAATATTTTTGAATTTCTACAGCGTGTACAGAATGACTGTCATCCACATTTGATATATCATCAAAACATTGAGGGTAAGACACCAAAAGAACTATTTGAGGAAGAGCGCGAGGACATGATAAACAAAGCTGAGAAAGTAGTCAAAGATATCAATTGCTGCTTGATGCTTGTTTCTACTCTAATTGGCATGGTCAATTATGCAGCACTTTTTACTGTCCCTGGTGGTTTCGATCAAGACAAGGGCCTGCCAATTTTTTTCACAAAAGCGAAAAATGGGTGAGAGGATCTGCAGTTGTTCATGGTTTATGTAGGAGGAAGTTTGGTTGCTTCTTTATTGGGTTTGGGAACTCAGCTTTCAATACAAGTGTCACGGTTCAATAGTAATGATTTTCACATTTCATTGCCGTTGAAATTTCTTCTTACAGTCACGTCCTTGTTCTATGCTGCGGCCTTCTCAATCACAGCATGCTTCCAAATCTTCATCATTGAGGGTGCCTTCATAAACTCATATTTTGCGGTGATGGTGCTTGCCTATATATTTATGGGCCTTGTTTACACGGACTCATTATACATGACCTATGATTACTTGTACTACATAACTCGTTTTTCGCTTGCTTATAGAGGCCAGAAAATGTAAGTCTGCAGCTGGGTTGGTACTTGTTTTAAGATCATGTTTGTATTTGTGTGCAATTTAAGTGTGACTATACATGTGAGACAGATATATGTATTGGAAAAGGACTGTTGAAGGAGAGTTTCTCAAGTATTGCTAAGACATGCTATGAATACAGTTAATTATCTTGTATTTAAATAATGCACTGCTATAGATCTTGTTGGCATGCTTTAGATGTGGAATGTATATGGTTCACGAGCTCTAGTTTGTTATAAATGGTAATGGTTTTTATTTATATTAATTTTTTAATTGTCGAACTGCCTTTGGCTGGTGGGTTTCATCAGTCACGGACGAACCATGAAACTGTAAATTTGGTGGGTTGTTTGAACTTCTTTGGCAGTTTCGAATCAACAGATTGAGCAGATTTAGGTGGGTTACAACATCTCTAATGGTTGCCTCTGTACCTAGTTTGGTATTTTCTTTTTGAGTCAGTAGTTGTTGTATTGAATTTTGTGTGTTGTGCAACTAATAAGTGTGTGACTATATTCCATTATACTAATTCAATGTTATATATGTTTCTTGGCACGAATACCTTTTAACTTAGATTAACAAAATTTCAGCACTTTTGTATATGTAAAGTCAATTAAATAAGGCTTTAGAAACAACATTTATCAACAGTAAAACACTCCTAGTCTGTTGTTTGGTTGTGTTTTTATTTTCAGTTTTCTGTTTTTCAACAATACAAAAGAGGAACAAAAAAAAAAGGTTTGCCTTCTTCACAACCCAAAAACATTCATACTTAGCGTCCTATTATGAACTCAAGAAAGCAGAGTTGAACTGTCCTCGAAGACAAAGCATGGTTCCAATGGATCATCTGCCAATCCTCGGAGAAACCGTGGAATCGGAGGCATACCCACGTCTAAAACTCCCTCTAGAATTTGGACTACCTGTCCCATACTTGGCCTATCCTTCTCAACATCTTGAATGCACCAACAAGCAACTTTGCAAGCTCTAATCACCTCTTCAACATCACCATTGCCTTGCAACCTGTAATCCAACCAGCTCATGACTAATTCCTTGCTTTCGTTCATTTTCATTGCCACTAAAAATGGAAAGTACCGATCCATTTCATCATCTACTCTATCACTGTTTCTCCTTCCTGCTCTAAAATTCCTTCTAGAATTTGGACTACCTGTCCCATACTTGGCCTATCCTTCTCATCATCTTGAATGCACCAACAAGCAACTTTGCAAGCTCTAATCACCTCTTCAACATCACCATTGCCTTGCAACCTGTAATCCAACCAGCTCATGACTAATTCCTCGCTTTCGTTCATTTTCATTGCCACTAAAAATGGAAAGTACCGATCCATTTCATCATCTACTCTATCACTGTTTCTTCTTCCTGATATAATCTCAAATAACAGCATTCCATAGCTAAAAACATCGGCTTTTGGCGTGATTGCTTCACCTGATATCCATTGTTGTCAAAACCCAACTAATCTCTCTCCAAACAAGCTTAGCAAGCCCAAAATCAGCCACTTTTGGGTTGTATTCAGCATCTAGTAAAATGTTTTCAGGCTTAATATCACAATGTATGATGCAATCTCCACATTTCTCATGGAGGTAAGTCAATCCTCTAGCAGTCACAACTGAGATGTTGTACCTTGTTTTCCAGTCTAAGACACTAATGTTGTCTTTTTTAAACAAGTGAGACTCTAGAGAACCATTTGACATGTAATCATAAATTAGAAATCTTTTTGTACCTTGTATGCAGAAACCCCGAAGGCGAACAAGGTTGATGTGTTGGATCATGCCAATGGTGCTCACTTCTGAGCAAAATTGCTTCTCTCCTTGCATCAAATTTTTTAGCTTTTTCAGTGCTACTGCGATTGAATTGGGCAGTGTTCCTTTGAAAACTGTACCAAAACCACCTTCTCCAACATTTTCTGAGAAGTTCTTCGTCGCAATTCGTATGTCACAATACTTAAACACCACCAAAGAATCATCAACTTTCTCCAAAGTGCCAGCAGTGTCTCTTTGTCTCTTCCTCCAGAGGAATACACTGCCAAAGAAACAAAAGAAAACACAAACCACCCCAAAAACAGTCAAAGAAGTGTTTCTCTTAGCTTCAGTTCCAACCAGCTGGGATACTGCTACTTTAACATGAAGATCTCTTCCACTTTTATCATCTGATGAGAGTTGTTGTAGGTTGAACAAACCACCTCTCCAAATCAAACTCCTATTATCATAAGGATAAGCGCTGCATGAACAATTTCTCAAGCAAGCTAATTCACATTCATCAATATTCCCCAACTGTTATCGACTCTTAATTCTCAGGAAAATGGGTGTTTGGCACCACACAAAATTTGTCATTTTCTCTGTTTTCGCACTGTAGAGGAATTTTCCTCACACACCCACCTGAGTGATCCCCCAATTCCCAGTCTGCTTTAATCCTTGGTTCAAATCCTTCAATGCAAGTGCAAATCGGTACATTTTGGTTACAACTACTAAATGCCCCGCAAAAAGCATAGACTGCGCATTGTTGTGGTATGATCCATTTTGGAATCCACTGCGCATTGTTCTTCCTCCAAACAAATTGTTTGAATTGTCTATTCACATCCAGCACAAATCTAGCAAGAGCAGTAGGGTCACCAGCATCGTATGTAAAATAGCTCTCATTTGTATTGTTAACATATGTGATATTTTTTATGTAATAGCCCGATTGTATCTCAAGAACAAAGCTAAAAACTTTCCCATTCCATACCCCACTAGTCCAATACGGCTTAGACACATTCCAAAGCAATATATGACTTGAATTTGGCTCCACCTCCAAAGAGAACAGACTTGGTGATGGATTTTCTGAATTTTTCCAAGAAGTTAGAGCTTTGTTTTTCATTTTTGAGTTTATTATATCCAATTTTCCCACCGGGAAGATATGTGTCAGTTGGGTAGTCGAAACTCTACCATATTACATTAGAGGAATCCAATGTATCTCAGATGACAAAATTTCCATTGTCAAGGAGCATGGCTATGGTTGAGTTAGCCGATTTTGAAATCAAATTTGTCGACCAAATTTGAGTCTTTGACTGGTCTAGTAGGACTAAATTTCCATCTTTCAAGAGTCTAAATTGTGAAGAAGACGGATTTGAAATGGGTTGGATTCTATTTGCCACCCAAACTACTGTTTTGATTGATAATTTTTTGTACCATATGCCTATGTAGTAGTTTTGAGAGTTACCTGGAGTGAAGAAGCCAAGCTCAAAAGATCCACCTTGGATTGTTTGGTTCCCAGAGAGAGACTGTCCAGCATAGATGGTATTGGTACCATCTGATCCTTTTGAGAAATGGGTATTGAAAGATAGAACGAATAAGGGCACAACACAAAGAAAGAGCCATTGAATTTTGCATATGGGACTCATTTTTGCACGAAGTTGCACCAAAGAATTGGATGTGATTGACGTATTAAAAGAACACAAGCATAAAAATTAAGTTGGTTGTGCTCTTTACTAAGTAATCTTCAGTGGGCTTGGCGAGGATAGACCAAAACAAGCCACACAGTCCTTACACTAAAAAGTTCGATTTCAATCACTCTCATGAGTAATACGATCTTGTGGTCTTAAAAAAGAGTTGGAACAATGTCCCAGAAGAAAAGTAATAATTATTTTTATTTTTATTTTTTAAAATTGTTGATTAGTATTTCATGGCATAAAATCAAATCATTTCAACTTTGGCTTACGAGAAGATGTTTCTGTTATTTGAAATGCAGAAAAATCATCTCACAATGCTGATTGTGTCTGGCTGCATGACAGGACAAAAAAGAATATGTTGTAGAAGATTTGTATACAGTTTATTGATTTTTCATCCTCTACAAATTCAATTGTTGTAAACTTTTTGGACTTGTCTATTTTGGAGAAAAACAGAACTCAAACTTGTTTTTTTTTTATTATTTCGAAATCAATTATTATTGTTTTTTTAATAAATTCAACATGGTGAAAATATTACTATTCCTCCCTCAATCACCTTTTGCATTAATTCGGCGTGGATTTGAAGTATTTTTGGGCTGCATAGGGAGATTCTGATATTGTTTTTTTTATTTTTTTAAATCTATAAAGAAGAATAGATAGATGCATGAATGTTTGGAAAATTACCTGCGTACAGATTGGGAAGTTCCGATCTGCAATTTGTTGACAATAAAATAGAATATAAGAAAAGAAAAAATTCACTTTTTCTTACCCATAAACTATTAATTTCAATAATTACCTTCTTAAATTATTTATTTTATTTCACTTTATTTCAAACTGTCAATAAATTTAAATTTTTTACCGAATATCACACATACCTTCACACAAATTATTTGTCCTTATGATTTACTTAATTTAATGGAAAAAAAAATTTTAAAAAAAAGAAAGAGAAAAGCCTTAGGATTTGAGGTTTGCAACCAAAAAAAAAAGAAAAAAAAACCTTGAGTTTTTAATTTTATCATTTTAAAATCTAAATTTTTTATTTATTTTCAATTTAAACTATTTATCTATTTTCGTTAAGTAAAATCAACGAAAAAATAATATTTTAATCATTAAATTCAATAAAAATGATATTTTAAACATTTTATGTATACTTACATTGAATATAATAACTAAAATACTCTTTTTCTGTCGATTTTACTTAACAAAAATGGACAAATAATTTAAATTGAAAACAAATCAAAATATTGAAGTTTAAATTAATAAAATTAAAAACTCATGATCTATTTTGTCCCTAATTTTTATATCCCAATATAGTATTTTTGCAAAAATTAATTGTATTTTGTGTTTTAATTAAAAAAAATCCAAAACAATTGGCTGTATTTTTTTTTAAAGAAATTATATCTGAATATTTGTCTTCTTAAAGTGAATCAGTACCATCAATTAATATAGCATGTGTGCCGGGTATGTATTCCGTAAAAAATATTAACCTTTTTAACAATTTGGGAGTAAGGTAAATTAATATTAATAGCTTAGGAAAGTTAAGGGACAAATAACACACTTTCCGTGTAAAAAAAAAAAAAAAATGAAGTGAATTTTTTTTTTCTTTGGTTTAATTGGTTATGAATAAAAAAATGAATAATATTTATCAAGAATAAATAGATTTGATTAGCAATAAAAAAAAATTATATATAAATAATTTTGTTTCTCTCTCCCAAGACATTCAAAGGATATACAACATTCAAATCAAAACATCGCATTAGAGTCCTCACATTGTGAGTGTTATGATTACAAGCTTATGAGAAATCA